TAAATATGCTAAAAATAACTTGTAGCATATTGTGTATTGCTAAACCAAGATTGCTTAGTCCGGATTGACACATTCCGGTACGATGTTGAATCTTCTCAATACATTCACTATTGTTCTGCAATAATTTACGCGTACGTTTACTGCAAATGGGTGATAATCCAATCCTGAAACAATTCTAATCTATTATATTATAATTGTGGTAAATCAGTATTCCCCTCCATGTATTATAAATAAAATGCAATAATCAAATTAATTAAATTATGGATAATAATAAAAGTGTTCACAAGTTTGTTTAACTTATTTATTTGATATATTATATACTAATGCAATTTTTCCTTCCCTCCTTTTATAAATTTAATTGATAAGAGATATACAAAAGTTTAATAACAGAAAATTTGGAAAAGAATTCGTGATAAAAATGTAAGTTTTAAAGATCTGTTTTATATATAAATCGGTTTTATTTTTTTTTAATAACTGCAATTTTAATTCAATTATGCATATTTAATTTAATATTATGATTTATCTTTTTTTGTTTGAAAATGTAATACCTTGCAAGAGTATTTAATGGTGAATTGAAAGCACATCGTTTTCCATTGGAATGAACAAATACTGTATTTCTGATACAATTGTCATATTTATTATACAAATTGCAAATTCCAGAAATGACAGTTGAATTTTGTTGGCTTATTTCATGCAAAAAATTGAGACTATTTAATTCGACCACTTTTCGATTAACTTCAACAAGTTCCACCAAACATGCTAACGCCAAATTCTCCTTCAATTATTACTTTTTATTTGATAAATCATTAATTATTGATAAAAAAATTACTTTCTTTGATAACTTGTTAATAAAGCTATAGTTTAAATTTCAATCTCTCATGAAATTTGAAAAATACATGCTAAATAAATATTCCATCCGCTAATTTTTTTCTTTCCAGATTGGCTATTCAAATGTTAAAAATTGTTGCATGTTGAAATTAATTAATTGATAAATATATATGTGAAATTAACATGTATATTTATCAATTAATATCACAATATCATTCATACCTGTTCTGAGCTACACCTTTCATTCCTTGGATTTAATTTGAATTCATCATCATCATTTGATTTTGTGTCGGCAATTGCTTCCGCATAACAATGATGCATAATTAAATCATCATTTAATGCATCTTGCACCGCTACAGCAGCGTTCTGCGCTTCAACTGTGCATGCATCGAGCATTACACGCAGTGCACAGTCGATATTATTGCTAAATTGTTCTAGTGCATTGCAGATTGTCTCGTTTTTTGGCTGAAATATTGAATATTATTTTAAAATTATAAAAAAATAGGGAGAGAAAAGGTGACAGTTCAGCATAGAAAATACTAATGTACCATTAAATTATTTAAATTACTTTAACTGTTAAGCTTTGTGCGTAACGACACAATCATTAAATTGTTTTTACACGCAGTGATAAGTTATGTTATAGGTAAGTCTTATGTACAAGAATATCGTTATTAGAAGTAATTGATAAAAATAAAACAGTGACGAAAATTTTAAATAATCTATTGGTAATAATTAATTTTATTTAAGTGACCATTATCACTATTACACGTAGGAATGACATTATCAAAAAATTATTATCACTAATCTTACGTAAAAGAATATTGCCATCATACAGAATTATTCTAATTAAAATTAATTGTAATATATAATATACATATAATATAATGGCAATAATTTCCTGTTACAACAAAAACATTTGTATTTGATTGTATAGAGAGATTGTTTAGAAAAAAGTAACTTTTATTGCATTCAAAAACAATGATAAAAGTTTTAATTAATCTATAAGTAATAATAACAATAAACATTTGTGGATAAAAATAGTAATAGATTTTGTACCTTTTCATTACACTGAGCTAAACTTGATGAAGCATTAGTAAAGCATTCCTTGTGTTGTATTAATTTTTCTCGATGTTCACAAACGACACGATAGATTGGTTTCCATTCCTCTTTATTAATGATTTGTGAACAAATCGCATTAACTTTATCGAACATATACAGTATGTCGTAAGGTGTGCCATCATCTTTTAAGTTGCCATTATCATCTAAAATTAACGAGATAAAATTGAAAGAATAGATTTGACAGATGAAAAGTGATATAAATCAATGTTCTATCGTTTGTTTTTCAAGATAATTTTGCTCCTGCTCTATTTTAATATCGTTTATATTTGGCGATTATCATATTTTAGAAATATCATTCCGTTCATTGTGTTGCATAAGTTTTACAAGAATAACACTTCAAATAATTATAAACTTTAAATAAGCTCCGTTTTTATGCATTTTTATTTATGACAAATTAATGATGTTAAAATATAATTGTATTTTTGAGTATACTTTAAAAAAATGTAATGTAATATATTTAAACTTTATGTTTTCGCTCGTTCCCTTTTTTATCTTTTAAATTTTAAATTAGAAATTATTTTACACTATCTTGCAAAATATTTGTTAGCAGATAAATGAATTTCTATTAAATTCATATAAATTGGTAATCAAGATAAATTAATAAGTAAATCGATAACTTGATAATAAACACACAAATTAAGCTTACAGTGCTATAAATTATAAAATACTTTAATAATACGGCTGCTAACCATTGACATTATTATCATTATTGTTGTTGTCATTATCATCATCATTA